ATTTCAGTGCCTGAGCACCAATAAAAGGCAATTATTTGAATGTATTTCATTCATATGAATGCTGTGTGAAGGAATGAGTTGCGGGGACACTGTGCTGCTAGCGAACGACATGCACTTTCCTGATCACCTTTCTCGTTTCACAAAATCAGAAGTGAAACAAGCTTGACATAAACAGTTCACAAACTGGACAACACGAGAGGCAGAGAAAGAAAATGCTCCACATTCAGTCATTTCAAAATTAGAGTAGTTAGTTTAGTGTAAATTAATAGCGAAAACCAAGAAGACACCTACCTCCAACGAGCAATTTAGCGTTATCAGGAATGTCCTGTACAGCTTCTTTGGCATTGGGGTAGATCTTCACAGAGAGAGACGGTGTTGTGGAAAAGCGGTGAATGGAGGCAAGATACGGTCCATGCTGAACTTATGCTCTTTTCTTACTGGAAGGCTGAGAAAATGGCATTAGACTCACCTTACAATAGTGTCTGAATGAATTGTTGCCTAAGTGCGACAGCACCATTTCCTCCTCCTAACTCCTGAAGTATTAGGCTTAAAGTCACTCGGAAGTCACTATTTCTCGTAAACAAAGGCTGGAACAAACAAACAGTCCGTCGTAACCAGTGATCAACAAAGTGAAAAAAATTCGTATGCTACCAGTGAGAAAATTATAATCGAAAACATCTCGCTGGAATAGAAAATGATATTTATGAGCAATGATTAACAGCTACAATGAATTCGGAAAGAATAAATAGTTGAAGCAAACAGTTTCAACGATTTGCAGCGATTAGAAAGAGAGCGAATAATGGATTCGGAGAAACCGAGCAGACCGGCCGTTATCTAAGAAACACAAAGTAAAAGTGAACTAGAAAAAGAGTGCCTGGCAACAAGAACTTCCCAGGGTACAAAGGTCAAAGAATTCAAGAAGAACTTGAAGGAGAGTCTGTGACATTGCCTACAGAGGGACGGTTGCGCCGCGGCCACTGCGATGGAGCGTGTTATTACATGCTCGATGTATTTGTGCCTTGGCCAACCAAGCTTTCCATCTCTCCGTGATCGGTTAACTGGTACCAGACTCGCCTGGAAGGATAGAACAACTGAATTGTACATCGGCTAGCCACCGAAGGCCCTTGTCTAGGCCACATACGCCTTCAATACGCCACTACGATTCTGAATAAAGTCGAATGCATGGGCGCATCCCTCTGACGGGACTGACTAAAGCCCCAAATTTATCCTTTATGGGTGGATGTATTGATAGATACTGGATAAGGCAGGATGAAC